AAAAAAAAAAAAAAAAAAAAAAAAAAAAAAAAAAAAAAAAAAAAAAAAAAAAACATTGCTCAGATCTGAGTTTTCCCCTACGTGAAGATTAACGGACCACCGCCAGAATCCATCTCTAGACGAGACTCGTACAAGAATTGAGAGGCTAGCAAGACCGACGCTCCGTCAAAACCTAAGAACATTTCGCGAGGTAAGGTTTCTGAACAACATTGCTCAAATCTGAGTTTTTTCCTACGTGAATCGATCCTAAAATGCGGAAATCTTCACCTAGGAACAACTCACGCACGGTCTGTGAAGAAGTTTGGCTGAGACCTCAACCCAAATGTGGAGATCCGAGAGTCGTCCGAGAACGGTGAGCGAACTTCCGACATTCTTAAATCATCTGATAGTCAAGAAAAAATTACAAAAAAATACTAGGACGTAGCCTGTAACACAATCTAGAACTTTGCTGAAGGAATCATATCGATCCGATCTACGGATCGAAAGATAAGAAAATCAGAAAAAGCAGACTGGGTTTCAGTTTTCAGAGGACAAAGAAGAAAGAAGAAAGAGAAAACAAAAAAAAAAGCAGCTGGCGAGCAGCGGAGGGCGGCGATAGGCACCGGACACGCGTCGACCACCGGCTGGAGTAACGCAGCCCCAGCGAGGCATCGACACGTGTCGACTGCAAGCCGGGCCGAACCGCAACGCGAGCAGAGCCTACCGGACCAGATCTGGTCAACCGACTTGCGACTACGCCGAAGTGGGCGCACATGCAGCCTGCGACTGGCGCCTTCCCGCGCGCGTAGAACGGCCAATTTGGCCCGGTTATTTTCTGTTTGCCCAATTTTTGTCCCGGTTCCAATTCTAATACTGTTTTTACGTGAATAGGGACCTAATTTAAAGAAATCAGTATTTTTGGACACCTCACGGGCAAAGAAACACTAGCAAAAGGGCACACGTCAACCAGGTAAGTCACCACCCAGTATTTAGAAGAAATACTTGTAGGATTCGCTCGAATTGCATGCATGCTAGTAATTCTGCTTCAGATTAGCTCTCCATGTAAATTATTAGTCAGATTAACTGTTGTGATTGTATTGAGTAAATTACATGAGTGTTGCTGTATGCTTTAAGCTTTCGCTGTATATATGCATGCGTTAATTTATGTTAGAATTGTGTATGCTAGGTTTCGGGTGCTTGATGGACGAATTCGCCCCATTGAGCGCGAACTTCGCGCTCTGGGTGCTTGATGGAGTTCATCGTCCCGTTGAGCCAGTATGCCTAGTTTGCATGAATTACATACTATGATGTTAGAAGAAGATTGCATGCACCCTCTGTTAATTGCTAGTGCCCATTTCTATGATAATATTAGGGAATTTCTGTTAGGAGCGATATGCCGCTCTAGTCAGACTTAATTTTCCCCTAGAAACTTAGCGGTTTACCACGGCAAGAAGGTACCTCGGAGTGTTCATAGATTGCTAGCGTGTGAACGGTATCTATAGCTTCTTGGGAGGACCAAGGGGTCCCTGATAAGTCCTTACTGCTCTTAGCCATTTCGCATGGGAAATGTGTCCCCATGTCGTACAGCCCATTAGCTGCATGGGAACGGGTTGGGTCGCCCTCCCCCCCCCCCCCCCC